GGCGAGATCTCTCCAGAGGATGCACGGAAGGTCGGCAGCGAGGGCGAGACCTCTCCGGAGGTCGGGCTGGAGGCAGAGCTGCTGGGCTGAGATCTACGGGCGAGAACGCTGGGCTGAGGGCCATGGACCGGACATGAGGAGCTGGAGTCGTTCTGACCACCAACTGGGACACAAAGCGGCTGGACCACCGACGGAGCTGGTGTTGGTCGGACCACCGACTGGACTCGAGGAACAGGAGTCGAACGAATCACTGGCTAGCAGCGCTAGTGGGCCGGGGATCAGGCTGGCTGGTGTCCATTGGCAGCCCCGTTAGCTGGCTCATGGCTAACAGGCTGAGGAACTGGTGTTGACTTGGCTGGGGAATCGGCTGAGGTGCGGAGGAAGTCCAACACCCACTTTGGAAAGGAGTCGGCCGGTCGGCCGCTCCAGGATTTGCAGCCAACTTTGTTCGGGTGAGGGACACGATAGCCTCCTTGTGGCTAACGTGACTGGCCTTGTACCACATGTTTCTCAGCTCCATAAGCTCCCAGCACAGATCGAGCAGTTCATCAGACATGGTGTCCGCTGGGTCCCTTTGTGGTCCGGTCATTCTGTTACAGTAAGTGGTGGTAAGGCAGGTTGGAGGACCCAAACGCAGGACGCAAGGCAGAGGAGGTACAGTTCAACAGGGGTTTGAGGGAAAACAAACAAAAGGCGAGCACACTTACTGACAGAGTGGCTGGTCCAAAAGAAAAAGTCCAAAAAACAAGATAATCCCAACAGAAATCCAAACTCCAAAGGAAACAAGATGACAAGACAAGCAAGGCAGACAACAGACGCTGGAGCGTATCCACACGACAGACAGGGGGTAACTCGAACAATGACCGGACAAGGGCTGAACAGAAAGACCACACATATATACCAGGGCTAACGAGCAGGGCGGGAGCAACACAGGTGACAGACATGAGGCTAATGAGGGAGGCAGAGAAACAGCAGGAAAACAGAGAAGTCACTTAGACAAACAGACATGGGGCAGAGTGAATAACCAAGAATGCACAAGTACGACACAGGGCTGAGATGCAGAGCTAAACAGAACCAGTAAATGAACAAGGGAATACACAAGACTAAACAGGGAACACAAGACCAGGAGTAAACACAAAAGATATTAACTAATGTACAGGATTAGGAACTAACTAAACAAGACTAAACAGAGAAACAGAGAACCAAAAACAGACTTAAACAGGAAAGACATGAACACAAACCACATTCCTAACAACAGGCAGTTCAGCAGCAGGGTTGTGTCACTATGTAGTTGTTTTGCCAACCATCAAAAAACTCAAAAGAAGAAGAAGGTCCGCAACAGACACAAAGGAGAGTAATGGGGGGATGTTTTGAAGAAAACCTCCTGGAATTGTCCACAATTACGACATCTTCATAATGTCTCTATGCCACTGCACAGCGACAAGTATGCTTGTCAAAATAGCTGGTCTGAGACCGCCAACACTGGAAAGCGACATGGAAACCTTCAAAAATAAGTGCAACCGTTGGGTTCGAGCACAGCGGAAAATGCTGGAGAAACGGGGTGGGGACGGTGGAGATACTGTGTTTTGTCTGGCAATCATCCAACGCCTGGGTTGGCTAAGGAATTTTAGCAATCGGTAAGTGCTACATGTAGCTTCAGATTAACAAAATACAGGCTTTATCTAAATGAATGTTTCCTGGCCTAATGTTAATGTCAGCAAGCAACAGTTAATTACCTCATTTTGTGTTAAGGAACTATTTTATAAAATTACACTACAAAAGGCTTCAAATGTACATGTATCAGAAATTCATATTGCGTGCCAGCTGCTAACATGGTGCAGTGGGTCTCGATTCAAAATGAGGAGGACATCATTAGCAGTCCTACTCCAAGCCCAGCATCTGTTCCCTGTTCTTCACCTTCACTGAGCCTGTGTACTCTGTCCACTCCATGACACAGACATAGACATGCACCTTGAGTGCAAAGGAAGTGGAAACGAGGTGGATGTCGTTGACAATCCCCTCCTCCAGAGGCTGACAGAGAGCAGTGAGGAGAGACCTGCAAGTCAAGACATATACGGCAGCTTTGGGAATTACCTGACCATATTCTTTCAGCAGCTTCATCAACTTGATGCCAAGAGACTGGTGAAGGAGATAAAGCAGCTTATGTAGTCATATGAATAGAGAGCGATACCCACATACTTTTAACCAAAGCTTTTACAGAGGAGTAATAGAAAGCATCCTGACTGGAAACATCACCAACTGGCGTGGGATGTGCACGGCCCAGGACCGGAGGGCTCTGCAGCGGGTGATTAGAACTGCTCAGAAGATCATTGGTACCCATCTCCCGAGGATCAGTGATATTGGTGAGGTGAGGTGCCTGCGTAGAGCCTAAAGGATATTAAAGGACAGTACCCACCCAGCCACAGCCTGTTCACCCTGCTGCATTCTGGGAAGAGATATAGAAGTTTGTGCTGTCGCACCACCAGACTGCAGAGCAGCTTTTCCCCCCGAGCTATCAGACACTTAAACTCTAATTCATCCTCAGCACTGCTCCACTGATTCAGTTCACCATTTTTCATAATCGATCCTTTAGTAATGTATATTGTCTGCTGTGTAGCAGAAGGAAGTTACAAACTCTATTTCACTCTATAACTTGCTATATTGTGACAATAAACCTGCCTACCTACATACACACACTCACTCCCACTGACACCACACTGTTTGTGTTCCAACAGTGCAATTCTGTTCTTGAATGGAGTTTTTATATAAAGCAGTTTTACCTTACTGCACGTATTGGTCAGGATGAGTACCTGTACTGTTTATACTAGTTCAAATAAAAATGTACTTTATATATTGTAGAGAAATGTTTATTTTTTATTAGAAATGGTGGTCATTCCAGGACATCCCTTTTAATTCTTAAATTGTTGACATAAAAGAAAACAACACAGTATACACACTCACTGGCAACTTTATATGGTACATTAACATTTACATTTATTCATTTAGCTGACGCTTTTATCCAAAGCGACTTACAATTGCTGTACATGTCAGAGGTCACACGCCTCTGGAGCAACTAGGGGTTAAGTGTCTTGCTCAGGGACACAATGGTGGACAGCAGCTTGCTAGTACTGGGTTGGAGCCCCTTTTTCCTTCAGAGCTGCCTTAATTCTTCATGACATACTTTCAACAAGGTGTTGGAAACATTCCTCAGAGACTTTGGTTCACATTGACATGACAGCATCACACAGTTGCTGCAGATTTGTCGGCTGCACATCCATGATGAGAATCTCCTGTTCCACCACATCCCAAAGGGGCTCTATTGGATTGAGATCTGGTGACTGTGGAGGCCCCTGGAGTGCAGTCAACTCATTGTCATGTTCAAGAAACCAGTTTGAGATGATTTGAGCTTTGTGAACTTCAGCAAGTTGTCCTGACCACGTCATGTACATGCCGAAATGCTATGAGTTGCTGCCATGTGATTGGCTAATCAGCTATTTGTGTTAACAAGCAATTGAACAGGTGTACCAAATAAAGTGTATAAATACAAGTATATATACAAGAAAACTTTTATGAAATCCCCCCAAACAGAAAACTACGATAGGCTCCTTGCTGCATGTTGTCTAGTTTGAGTATTTTTATGTCTTTTGATATTAAGAAGATCTCAAAGTTTGGCTCAACTCCTGGGTTTGATTATGTTTGGTATTTAATCAATATAAAATCCCTAAATTAGTAAAGCTAAATTATAATAATGTTTCATAACCTTGATCACTGATCGGGTACATGATGTACAGAATTTCTTTACTATATGCTATTCTGCTGTAGTTTACATCGCTGAAGGACAGTGTCCTGATAGGCACCCCTCCCTGTGTCCGTCTGAAAATAGTTCCTCAGGACATTTTGCACCTGAGTGCCAAGTCTCGTTGCTCGATCAGCAGTGAGGCATCCTGGATCAAGGATGTTTGTGTCTCCCTCCACCACTTGCCTCCATTATCCAGAGACATGCCCTTCGTCCACCAGGGTGCTATAAGTACCTTGCATTCTTTGACTGGACTTAGCCGATGCACACAAGCCTTTATGCCGTTATGTCTTGGTCTGTCTCAATAGAAGATTCCATGGCCTTGCCAAAGACTCTCCTCCTTGCAGCTAAAATGCCAAAGGCATTTTCAACAATCTGCTTTGCTCTGGAGTGGTGATAGATGTACACTCGCTGTAAAAAAAAAAAAAGAACAGTGATGAGATTCACAGTTTCACATCAAACCTAATAAAATGAAATAGTAAAATGACACAAACATGAATGATGCAAATATGGCACACAGTATAATATTGCCCATTCATTTCATTAAATCTCCTGTACATTTCCTCATCAACCTCAGCAGGTAGTCCGTGTTCCGAGCAAGAATCCATGCAAGACTCTGGCAAAATGAGAGGAGGTGGACTCTGTGTTTTACAGTGATGATGCTTGGTGCTCAAATACAGTCAAAATGGACTTTGTTTCCCAGACAGCAGACTTTTTATTCATTGTTTTCACGTGACGTCACATTCCAAAGAAAATGCTCCCTTGGAGGCCAAAAAGACGTTATTTTCTGCTGCCTGCCAACCAATATGGAAGTGATGGACTGTTACTTTGAGTTTGTTACTTTTTGAATTGACAAATGCTGGATGGTTGTTGTGCTTTCGGATTTACTAATTGAGGAGGAGACAAGCCTGGGCTGTGTGTGAGGTGAGGGATTCCCCAGAAGGTAGAAGTAAACATTACCACAGTCGAGCGGTGGCAGGGACCTGGCGGTTTTTAACAGTAGAAATGCGGCAGAGGATGCTGTAACGTTATATGGATCGGATATTCCCAACACTTGCAGTTTGTGTTCATATCTTTTTTTTTCTTATGTTGAAAGGTGCGGCGTCTTTACGGGGGAGTCGCAGTGTTGGTCTGTTGTTTTGCCCTCCAGGTCACTGCACACGTTGTAGCGGCCCCTTGGATTTATTGATCAAGACGCAGAGAGTTTCAAACGGGTGTCGATTTATTATTCCTCTCAACGTGCACCATGCACCATGAACACCGTGAAAACTACAGAATAAAACAGAAGAAACACAAAAGGCTTCTATGTAGCTTCACAAATAATTTGCACATAACTTGTGTTCACATATTAATCATGTTTACACACAATACAAATCATTTTAACTAACAACCAATATGAATATGAAATGAAATGTTTTTAAGCCTTTTTGACAAATAAATATCACATGCCTTTAAATGAAATACAATATATTATAATTGTTCACAGAAATAATATTGCTTTTATATTGACGACATGTGCAATTAACCCATAAACAAATGAAGTAATGACATTCTCCTTTCCTTAAACAAAATCCCTTCTGATAATAATACACTAGACACATTTTCTTTCATACCTCATTCCGCTCTCCAAGGACGCTAATCAAATGGTTTTCGCCATCGGCTATCACGCTCTCTAGCTCGACACGCTCACAGTTCGTAGGTCTTAGAAATAACATGTACAAACGATACGAAAATAATAAAATCACAATGTAAACTCCTTCTTTACAAGATTCAAATAGATGAACATGATAAATAACGTGTTTACCAGTTTTTTACCGTTCTTCCGACGACGCGTGAGCACCACATTGTGAAGAGAAAAATAGCAGGAAGTTTAGCGTCACAAAAAACATAAGAAGAAAACGACACCTTTCAAAATAAAAGCAGAACAGGCAAGGTGACACTGTAGAACTACAATGTCTTATTAAATATATAAATATAATACTATGTAGGAGAATATTAATGCGATTTATCAGACATTTACACTCCCACCAAATCCTAGTACAATGAATGAACAAATACACAAATTTAAATGAATTGTACAGGATTTCTTGAAATGAATAGCCTTAACTTAAGCTATCAGAGGTGTAACTATATAGCCTCACGCATAATAAAGTGGTGTGCAGTGTTGTCAATTGTTTTCTTCTAATCAGTTCTCAAGGAGGAGCACCAATTTTTTGATTGGTCTCTCAATTACTGAGGGCTTGGTTGGAAAATCTTGTTTTTTATGAGGTTTCCTCTCCCCAACTTGCACTTTAACTCGACGAACTAAGCCATCACTACTTTGAACAGTCTCAATCACCCGTCCAAGTTGCCACTGATTTCTTGGGAGATTATCATCTTTAATAATGACAATATCATTCACTTTGAGGTTGCGCTGAGGTGAGTGCCATTTCTGTCTTATGGACAAGTTCAACAGATACTCCTTTTTCCAGCGGCTCCAAAACTGTTCGATAAGATACTGAACTCGTCTCCACCTCTTTGTCGCATACAGGTCCTCCTTGACAAATACTCCAGGAGGAGGAAGAGCAACTTTAGATTTCATCAGGATGAGGTGATTCGGTGTTATAGGCTCCAGTGCCTGAGGATCATTGATTCCATCCACTGTTAATGGGCGGCTGTTAACAATAGCCATGGCCTCATATAGCAGTGTTCTGAGGGAGGCGTCATCAAGTTGACCTGGGCACTGTGCAAAGGTGGCATTCAGCACGTTTCTAACAGTTCTGATCTGGCGTTCCCAGACACCGCCTGCGTGACTGTCAGAGGGAGCATTGAAGACAAATTCACACTGCTTCTCAGTCAGGAAGATTTCCAGTAGCTTAGTGTCACATTGTTTAAGTGCTTCCTTGAGCTCATTCTTGGCGCCAACAAAATTAGAGCCTTGGTCACAGCGTAGTTGTTGAACAGCTCCTCTCAGGCTGATGAAGCATCTCAATGAGTTGATGAATGAGTCTGTTGACAAATCTTCGAGCATTTCAATATGAACAGCTCTAGAGTACAGACATGTGAAAATCAAGCCGTATCTTTTGTATTCTTTGCGGGCTTTCTTTACAATGAACAGGCCGAAACAGTCCATGCCGCTGTATGTGAAAGGTGCTGAGGCTTCGACGCGTTCTTTGGGAAGTTCGGCCATTTGCTGTGTCTCTGTCGGCCGTCGCAGTTTCCTGCAAAACACACAAGCATGTATCAGCTTAGCAACCAACTTGCTCCCACCAATTACCCAGAATCCGTTGGCCCGAAGTTCCATTAAAGTCTGGCTTCGCCCCTGATGACATGTCTTAGCGTGGAAATGGGACACAATCAGCTTGGTGATGTGGCTGTTACTTGATAAGATGACAGGGTGCTTGACTTTGTGACAGAGCGATGACTGGTTCAATCTCCCACCAACACGGAGGAGTCCTTCAGACCAGATAGGGTGGAGACGGAAAAGAGAGTTTGATTTTGGAAGGTCTCTTTTGCCCTGAAGCATCTTTATCTCCTGGGGGAAGGCTTGCTGCTGTAAGATCTTAATCACTTCGTCTGCAGCCTTCTCACGCTCCTTAACAGTCACATACTCACTGTGTTGTTTCTGTTTAGACCCCAGCCTCTTGATTCTTGCCACAACCTTAAGAATAGCTGTCCAGGAGGAAAACTGACTCAAACGCCTGAGGATGTCATTGTAGTTTTTGACTTCTGTTGCAAGCACCTGAATTGTCTTGACTTCTGGGTCACCCACGAGTAATTCTGATGGAGCGCTGGGTGTTAGAAGTAATTCACGCTCCCAGAGAAACTTCGGTCCTCGCAGCCAGTTTGTTGAATGAATGTCTGAAGCACGAAGACCTCGGGAAGCATGATCTGCCGGGTTTTCTGCGGTGTCTACATAGTGCCACTGACTGGGATCACTGTTATCCCTTATCAGCTGAACACGGTTCGCAACATATATGTGGAACCTGCGGGCATCATTGTTAATGTACCCAAGCACTACTTGTGAATCTGTCCAGAAAACCTCTTCATCAATCTTTATGTCAAGTTCACCTTTTAACATGACACTGACTTTTGTAGAAACCACGGCTGCCGCGAGTTCTAGCCTCGGGATACTTGTGACCTTTGAGGGTGCAACTCTTGCTTTCGCCAACACGAGACTGCAATGGACTTCATCCTTGTCATTTTTATACCTGAGGTAAGAACATGCACCGTATCCCACGCAGCTGGCATCCGAAAAATGGTGCAGCTCTACTCTGACAATGTTGTGGAAGTCATATGGGTGGTAACATCTCGGAATTGAAACCTCTTTCAACCTGTGAAGCCCATTTATCCACTCCTCCCACCGTGGCCTCAGATCTTCTGGGAGTGGATCATCCCATCCGATGCCTCTGTGACACAGCTCTTGAAGTATACGCTTTCCAGTTAGACTGAATGGAGCGATGAATCCAAGTGGGTCATAAAGAGAGGCAATGACAGAAAGGCAACCACGCCGGGTTGAAGGCTGATCTTTTAAGCTGCTGCTAAAGCTGAAAGTGTCCGTTTTAATCGACCATTGAATGCCGAGTGCACGCTCTGATAGGTTGGATCGAGTCCCAGAGGTTCGATGGTTGCTGCTCTTTCTGAGGGATCTAAGGAGGCGAGGGCTGCTTCCTCATTTGAGTTGAATTTATGGAGGCGTAGGCCTCCTCTTTTGCACAACTCCTGTGACTCAGTGATCAGTTTCTTGGCTTCCTCGACCGATGGGACGCTGACTAACCCGTCATCAACATAAAAGTTCTTCTCTACAAATGTTGATGCCAATGGATAGGTAGCTTTGTGTTGCCGTGCCAGATGTTTCAAGCCAAAATTGGCGCATCCTGGGGATGAGGCGGCTCCGAAGAGATGAACTGCCATCCTGAATTCCTGTGGTTCCTTCTCCAAATCTCCACCTTTCCACCAGAGGAATTTCAGATAATTCCGGGATTCAGGAGTAACCGAGAACTGATAAAACATTCTTTCGATATCACAGATAATCGCTACGGCCTCCTTCCTGAAGCGGCAAAGAACTCCTACCAGAGGATTGATAAGATCAGGTCCAGTTAAAAGAGTGTCATTTAGAGAAACCCCATGGAATTTGGCTGAACAGTCAAATACAACCCTCAGCTTGTCTGGTTTTCTGGGGTGATAGATGCCGTGATGCGGAAGGTACCACTCAGTCTCTCCAGCAGATGTTGTAGGGGCAGGCTCTGCATCACCCTTGTTAATTGTTTCTTCCATGAATGTTTTGTATTGATCGTAATATTGTTTGTTGGTCTTTAATTTCTTCTTAAGGAACTGCAGGCGAACTGTGGCTAGTCTCTTGTTGTTTGGTAGGTTGGGTGGACTGTTTCCCTTGAAAGGGAGGGGCATCTCATAATGCCCATCTTTCTTCTGTGTGATGTTGTCACTGAGGAACTGTATGAAATGAACATCGTTCTGGGACACATATTTATCTTCATAAGCTCTCTCTGTGAAGTCTGATTCTAGGGCTTTTAGAACATCTGTCGCCGATGGAATTGGCAGTTCTTTTACTGTGAGCCGATGCACAAAGCTCTGACTTCCTTGTCTGTCTAGGTGAGGGTTTGATGAGCCTATGATACTCCATCCTAGTTTTGATCTCTGTGCAAACGGTTGATTTTCCTCCCCAATGATGACCTCAAGAGGAGCCAGTGCTGATGGACAATCATATCCAATCAGGAGCCCTACATCACATTCTTGAAGGGGTGGTAACTTATCTGCCAAATGTCTGAGATGAGGCCACAGTAATGCGGTTTCCTTCGTTGGGATGTAAGACTTGTCCACCGGGATAAAGTCACGGCTGTAGGCCTGCTGTACTTGGATGTGGTTCTTGGAGTGCAGTCCTCGAACTTGCAGACCATGGACGTTCTTGCTGGATATGATTGTGTCAATAGCCGTCATAGTACTCAGTTTCAGTTTTACTGGCTGGGCATCCACGTTCAGTTTGTCAAGTACATCTTCTAAGACAAACGTGGAGTCACTCTGTGTGTCCAGTATTGCATATGTAAGTACTTCTCTGTGTGGCTCTTGTATTGAAGACACAAGGACTGGGACAATACTTGAGGTAGCGGCAGCACGTTGTGTTGATGTATGGGACATGACCTTGTGCATTTCCAAGCTTGCATGGTTTTCTGTGGAAGTGGAGGTATTCGTTGTTGCTTCCACAGGTCTTTGTTTCCTGTCATCGTGCAAGCAGGTTGGGTGACGACGGCTGCATATGTTGCATGTGTGTCGCCTCTTACAATCTTTGGTCATGTGACCCTTCCTCAGGCACCCAAAGCACAGCCGATTTTCACAGATGAATGCCCTTTTATCTTCAGCACTCTTTGCTGCGAAGGTGGGACACTTTGTGATGTTATGAGCTTCACTTTTACAGACGGAGCAAGGTGATTTTGGTTTACTGCCGTTTGTTTCTTGTTTCTCCTGAGCGAAACTCTTCGTTTGTGCTTTTATATTGAAAGCTTTGGCTCTCTTTAGTGATCTTTCATCTATGGCCTTGAAATTCATCAACAATGGAGAAGCGATAGGGTTACAGGCTATCCGTGCCTCTTTGCTCAGGAACTTTGTGAAGGATGCAAGGTCTGGATAGCTTCCGCATGTGTCCAGTTCCTCAACAACAATTCGACTCCACTTGCGCACTATCCATTCTGGTAGTTTTTTGAGCAACTTGTGGTTTTCCTCACAATCATTAAGGATAGCTAATCCTTTGACGTGTGGGATCGCCTCAGTGCAGCCTTGGAGGAAGTCAGCGAACCCTTGTAGAGCTAATGGGTCGTTAGTGTTGATTTTTGGCCATCTCATGAGCTTATCTCGGAAAGCCTTTTGAATGATGAACGGGTTCCCATATCTGTCTTGTAAGACTTTCCATGCTCCATTGTATGCGCTCTCTGAATCTCGATAAAAGAAACCTTCTACAGCTTTGCGCGCCTCTCCAGCAAGATAATTTTTGAGGTAGAACATCTTCTCACTTGGAGGGAGAGGTTTTCTGTCAATAAGAGCTATGAATGACATCTTCCAATCTGTAAACTGTAAAGGGTCACCACTGAACGTGGTTGGTTCGGGGACCGGCAAGCGATTCATGCTTAATGAGCTGGCGATTGCTTGGGCTAGACTGACAGACTCCTGGGTCATTGTCACTTCATGAGCAGCTTGGTGAGGTTGGAAGGATGCAGCATCAGGATTTAATCGAGGTTCAGTTTCCGTTCTGTAGCAAGCAGAGTTAGTTTTGTCAATCTCCTCATCATGGTTCTCAAAACCTTCAAAATCATCATATGCTCTCACACGAGCTGCTGCTATGGCAACGTCTTTTGCTGCTTGTAACTGCTGCAATTTGGCTCTCTCTTGTTCCAACTGTTGTTGCATTTCCACCTCCTTTTGCTTCATTTCTACTAACATTTTTGCCTCTTTAAGTTTCCATTCATTCTCTAACTTGTGAAGATGTGCTTGCTGTGTTTGGATTTCTTTCATGGCTTTTGATTGTTCCAGCTTAGCCGCAAGCTCTGCTTGTGCATCTACTCTACTGCTGTGGGTACTGGCTGAGCTGGAGTGGTTGCTCAATCTCTCCGGTGACTCCGCTGAGCTTACCGTTTCAGTTTTAGTGTGGCCAAAGACAGACCCATATTCATCTTTGTTTAATGTTTCTCTTACCCTTTCCTTCTCAAGTTGGTCATTACAATCTTGATTAATGGTCTCTAGACGGTTACTTATGAGGTCACAAATGTCTTTTGTTAGCGTAACACAGGCATCCATTTTCTTTACAATCTCTGGTGTGGTGTTACCGTTACGTAGGATAGGTTCATACTGCTGGCCTACGTCATCATGCTTTGCTTGAATGTCTTGCTGTAATTCATTAAGGTCTTCTGATGAACAGAGGGTTTTTAATTTTTTCCTAGTCTCCCTAGCTACCAGCTTCCAAGAGTCATAGGTCTTGTTAAATGCTTTCTCACGTTTTCTGGTGTCTTGGTCATGCATCTCTTGGCCTTTCTCTGTTAGCTTTCTTTCACGTGAGCTGGACCTGCATGGTGTGTCTTTACGTGACATCTTGTTTGTTTGTGCTGCTGCTTTAAGTCGAGTGTAGCCTTTGATTGTCCTACGCCTGAATTTGCACTTGTAAGCTGTAGTTATCTTTTACTACAGAGTAATTTTTATGCCAAGCGTTAGCAGATTATGGACATCTAAAAGGATTTTAGCGTAAAACTGCAGTAACAACAAAATTCACCCTTCAACCTTTTCATAAATAGACATGACACAAGCACATTGGTCTTGAAATAGTCACAATTTTGGAAGCGTTAGGAACTGAGAATTAGCTCACAAGTTATTTTGACCTTATAATACCACGATATTATTTAAGTCACTTCAGTTATGCTGTAAGTTTGCGTGTGAAGAAATTGTCCATTTTTTAGCCTTTTTGCTCCTTGGCATCCAGTGTCTCTTTTTGCATCTCTAGTTGTACCTTAAGCATGCTGTCCATTTCAAGTCTTGCCTGGGTGCAGGAGTTGGATGGAAGCGATGTAAACTGGCTGGTATCAGGTTGGTAGTTGGACCTCGGATGTGATGGCGTCAGCTTCTCACCAGGGATGACAGGGCTGGTGCAGCGATGAGTTTTCACTGTAGCGGCCCCTTGGATTTATTGATCAAGACGCAGAGAGTTTCAAACGGGTGTCGATTTATTATTCCTCTCAACGTGCACCATGCACCATGAACACCGTGAAAACTACAGAATAAAACAGAAGAAACACAAAAGGCTTCTATGTAGCTTCACAAATAATTTGCACATAACTTGTGTTCACATATTAATCATGTTTACACACAATACAAATCATTTTAACTAACAACCAATATGAATATGAAATGAAATGTTTTTAAGCCTTTTTGACAAATAAATATCACATGCCTTTAAATGAAATACAATATATTATAATTGTTCACAGAAATAATATTGCTTTTATATTGACGACATGTGCAATTAACCCATAAACAAATGAAGTAATGACATTCTCCTTTCCTTAAACAAAATCCCTTCTGATAATAATACACTAGACACATTTTCTTTCATACCTCATTCCGCTCTCCAAGGACGCTAATCAAATGGTTTTCGCCATCGGCTATCACGCTCTCTAGCTCGACACGCTCACAGTTCGTAGGTCTTAGAAATAACATGTACAAACGATACGAAAATAATAAAATCACAATGTAAACTCCTTCTTTACAAGATTCAAATAGATGAACATGATAAATAACGTGTTTACCAGTTTTTTACCGTTCTTCCGACGACGCGTGAGCACCACATTGTGAAGAGAAAAATAGCAGGAAGTTTAGCGTCACAAAAAACATAAGAAGAAAACGACACCTTTCAAAATAAAAGCAGAACAGGCAAGGTGACACTGTAGAACTACAATGTCTTATTAAATATAAATATAATACTATGTAGGAGAATATTAATGCGATTTATCAGACATTTACACACGTCACGTGACTGAAAACTATGAATTGTGAGGATGAAACCATATTATCATCTTGTTGCTGCTGTTTACATTCATCCCAGACACAAATTCAAAAAATGCACAGTAGAATGTTGGGGGAGTATACTTATACACATATTTGAATATAAATAACTGTATATTGTTTTATTTTATTTGATATGTTACCATATTTTAATATACAATTAATTATAAATTATGTGTAGCATGAAGGGACTTCAAACTTTGTTTTTTTATACAACCTTGTGCTGTATAAAGACAAATAAGGTTAGCCTTCAGTGGAAAGGCTTCATCTGCTGCAAAGGCTACGTTCAGACTGCAGGCCAAAGTGACCTGAATCCGATTTTTTATATGTGACTCAGATCGGATCTTTTTATAACAGTGTGAACAGGCCAAGTCACATGGAATCTGATCTCTCCCAGTTCAGATTTATGCCACTTTCAGATGTGGTCCATCTTTTTAAATGCGACCTGAGTCTGGACTCTCAGATCAATGGGTACAGCACCAGAAACCGTAATGAAAAGGACAGAAGGTTGTGAACACTTGTCATAATTCGGGACAAATGTGACCCGTGAGAGAACAATGAAATTCGGGAGTCTCCCATGAAAAGCCCAGATATTGAACTGTCAGCTGTGAGTCTGCATCCATACCCTGTGTCCGAGGGAGTTCACGTGCGCCATTGTTGTGGCTGTTTACATCCCACCATCAGGTGATGCTTGCGTGTGGCGTCATCCAGTTACTGCCGGACAAACTCAACACCCGAATGCTTTCATTGCAATTTCTTAAAACATACTTCTCTTTCTGCTACTCTCCCAACTTTTCTGCAGTATGTTAACTGCCCCACCAGAGATCGAACTTTGGATTTACAAATGTCAAGGACTCATACAGCTCCACAGCCCTTCCCCCTCTTGGCAGATCAGATAACAGTCTTGTACTTCTCACCTCCACATACACACCTATTGTTCAGAAGCAGCCTATGACCTCTAGGATTGTGAGGAGATGGTCATAGGAAGCGGATGAGGCTCTGCAGGGGTGCTTTGAATCCACAGACTGGGATGTACTTTGTGATCCCCATGGAGATGACATACAGTGGGGCCAAAAAGTATTTAGTCAGCCACAGAGTGTGCAAGTTCTCCTACTTAGAAAGATGAGGTCGGTAATTATCATAGGTACACTTCAACTATGAGAGACAAACTGAGAAAACAAATCCAGGAAATCACATTGTAGGATTTTTAAAGGATTTATTTGTACATTATGGTGGAAAATAAGTATTTGGTCAATAAGAAAAGTTCAACTCAATACTTTGTAACATAACCTTTGTTGGCAATGACAGAGGTCAAACATTTCCTGTAAGTCTTCACCAGGTTTGCACAAACTGTAGCTGGTATTTTGGCCCATTCCTCCATGCAGATCTCCTCTAGAGCAGTGATGTTTTGGGGCTGTTGCTGGGACACATGGACTTTCAACTCCCTCCACAAATTTTCTATGGGGTTAAGGTCTGGAGACTGGCTAGCCCACTCCAGGACCTTGAAAGGCTTTTTATGGAGCCACTCCTTCGTTGCCCGAGCGGCGTGTTTGGGATCATTGTCATGCTGGAAGACCCAGCCACGTTCCATCTTCAAGGCTCTCTCTGATGGAAGGAGGTTTTGACTTAAAATCTCACGATACATGGCCCTGTTCATTCTTCCCTTAACACGGATCAGTTTTCCTGTCCCCTTTGCAGAACACAGCCCCAAAGCATGATGTTTCCTCCCCCGTGCTTCACAGTAGGTATGGTGTTCTTGGGATGCAACTCTGCATTCTTCTTCCTCCAAACACGACGAGTTGAGTTTTTACCAAAAAGTTCTATTTTGGTTTCATATGACCACATGATATTCTCCCAATCCTCTTCTGGATCATCCATGATCATTTTGACCCCACGGGATGAGATCTTGCGTGGAGCCCCGGATCGAGGGAGATTATCAAAGGTCTTATAGGTCTTCTATTTTCTTACAATTGCTCCCACAGTTGATTTATTCACACCAACCTGCTTGCCTATTGTAGATTCACTCTTCCCAGCCTGGTGCAGGGCTACAATTTTCGTCCTGGTGTCCTTACACAGCTCTTTGGTCTTGGCCATGGTTGAGTTTGGAGTCTGACTGTTTGAGGCTGTGGACAGGTGTCTTTTATACAGATAACGAGTTCAAACAGATGCCATTAAGACAGGTAACGAGTGGAGGACGATACACAATGGATAAGACACATGCCTTTGGTGTGAGAGACCTGGGTTCAGTCCCCCACTGTAACACATCCACCATTGTGTCCCTGAGCAAGACACTTAACCCCTCGTTGCTCCAGAGGAGTGCGACCTCTGACTTACAATTGTAAGTCGCTTTGGATAAAAGCGTCAGCTAAATGAATAAATGTAATGTAATGTAAATGAGGACAGAAGAGCTTCTTGAAGAAGAAGTTACAGGTCTGTGAGAGCCAGAAATTGTGCTTGTTTGTGGGTGACCAAATACTTATTTTCCACCATAATTTACAAATAAATCCTTTAAAAATCCTACAATGTGATTTCCTGGATTGTTTTCTCATTTTGTCTCATAGTTGAAGTGTACCTATGATGAAAATTACAGACCTCTCTCATCTTTCTAAGTAGGAGAACTTGCACAATCAGTGCCTTGTTCTGGTGTCAAAGAAGTCTTCTCCATCTGCCCTCAATGACTACAGACAGGTTGCCTTAACATCTCACATCATGAAGGTTCAGGAGAGACTGGTTCTGGCCCATCTGAGACCACAGGTGACCACTTCCATTGACCCTCTGCAGTTTGCCTACCGCCCTGAGGTTGGTGTGGAGGATTCTATCGTCTACTTGCTTCAGCGACCTCACTCACACCTGCAGGGGCATTTTTAGGATCTTGAAACATTGGGGGCTTAGCCCAGCCCATAAAACTTCATATCTTCGCATAATAATTGACACCCCACCAAGCAGTAAAGCAACAGTAAACGTCCTCTACTTATACGGCACAACAAAACTCACAACAACATGTGTCATGTCTGCTAAATTGTAATGTGTCTAATTATAATAATATAACAACAAAACTGCAACAGGATGAACAGGGGGGTCTGGGGGAGTGTTAAACACCTAATGTCCTGAATTCTGGTGTTTTTCCTGCACCAATTTCTGCCTTTTCTGCGTCAATTTATTGTGGAAATTATTTATGTAAAGGGACACAAAATTCAGGTAGGCCACAGGTGGCTGAATCTTTGTTTCCCTGGTTGCTTCAGATGTTATGACTGATTACTCATTTGATCGTCCTTGTTGCTGAATTGTGGTGAATATTTAAGAACATTTTGATATTTTATGACCTTGTAACTGATTATTTAGTACAATCTTTAGAGACTCTTGAAAAAAAGAGTTTTTCTGGTTTAATAAAGGTATAATAAAACAATTCAAAGTCTAAAACTGTAACAGAATATAATGCAGAGCAGCTCCCAGCTTTCAGATATGTTTCTCCTGTAGATCAACTTTTAATATTATTACTGCTGAATCAACACTCATGCAGACGTGACTGATTGAGGTAACCTTTTAAAATGTGCACGTGGCACCTTTTTACGTCATCAATAATAAATAAAATCATTTTAATTCAGTTATAAACTCCTGGACTTTAATAACTCCTGTGTTTCAGCAGGTTTTCTGCTCATGTTCAAATTTCTGCACATTCAGAATCTAACTGGGTTCTCTGACATTTCCAGAATAAAGGATATTTTGAGAGGTCAAACAGGATAAGTCATCATAAACTTTGCAATCAATCCACCTGCGTGCCGCACGTGGATTCTGCAACCTGTTGCACCACTACTATCCATGGTAGTGTGGGGATTTAATTCTTGCATGTTTTGTTGTACAGGATCACAGCCCCTATGTGTCCACATGAGGAAAGGTCAAGTTAGGCTACCAGAGTAAAAATGGACTGTCTATTGCATTAGACTAGGCAACTTGATGAGTTTATTTTTTTAAGTAGCCCATTAAAATATTCCTGCAAATGCAGTGAAGAAGCTGATTATCTGTAATTTAGCTATTTCTACAACTATTTTCCTTTTTAAATCTCTTTTAGTTTATAAAAGAGATTATAAGATCACAGTTTATAAGATCACTTTAAAGTATCACTTTTGCAGCACAGCCAACTTTTGTTACCTGTGCCTTTTATTCTGGAGATGTAGTCAACCAAACCGCTTGCTTTGCAGTAGCACAGGCTGCCAAAACAATCTGATTATTCCTGAAGCATCTAAATAATCTTCACAACGCAGATAATTATTGTGGCAGTAACACGGGAGCAGCTCGTTGTTGAAGCAGGTAAACCTGCATACAGAGGAAGCTGTGCGTCATGCGTAAAGCCCAAAAGAACCATTTTATTCTCTCTCTCTCTCTCTCTCTCTCTCTCTAAAATAAATAACAGCTGGTAGCTGCTGAGTGAAAGATTACTTTCACCAGCGACATTCTATTTATGGACTCACCGTCAGACATCGCTATAAAACAAATAGTAACCGATGTGTTTTAAAGAAAAGAAACAGGCTGATGTCCAAAGAGATGCTCTGTTCAACAACAGGACACTTTTAATATAACTCAATCAATGCAGTGATCGTCTGACATAGATCTTACAGTGTGTTGTCTTCATTTGCTCTGCAGAGACTAAAGACGCTTTTAATGCGCCGTTAATGTGAAAGTATTTCACTTGCCGGCTTGTTAAAGAGCGACGCAGGCTGCAGTGCGCTCACTGGATTTCAGTTGTATTAGTAGAACAAAAAAGCCTTAAACTTAAAAGATATTTGCCTGATTTTCTAAATGTTTGCATGTGCCCAGCTCTGTGACTGTGGCAAGCACCCGACCAGCGCTTTAC